AGATCTAGATAGCATAGTTACTTTGTGCATGGTTTCAAGATATCATAGAGAATATATGAACGGTGAAATACAACGAAAAAATCAACATAAACCTTACCAATAAATATTAAATATTAAATATTTGAGGCTAATTAAATAAAAGAGCACATACTCCATCCTACACAAGTCGTATCTAATGGCTATTGGCTAATGCTGATACAGAGAGACAACATAAACAGATACTACATAATCAAATCAACACTCGAAAAAGGTGAATAACACCCCAAACCAGCTACACCATGGTAAACTCGAAACAAAATTTCAGTACATGGCATGAATTTGTGCATGATTACAAATCACTGTACAAAGTACAAAGTACAAACAAAGCAGTTACAGACTTATAGGATGTACATCAATAGACAATATAACAAATAAACATACATAAAGAACACCCTGCCCCACCTTAAATAAGAGACAGAGACACTTTGACTAGCAGAATATTACATTAATATAAAACAATGACACAAAGCTTCATTTCAGGCTCCTCCATCAACGTTGTCAATTGTCCCCAAGTAGCAAGGGCACTAGATTAACTTATTTAGACACAGAGACATCATACAGCCACTTGATTCCTTACTGACCGACCAAGTAGTAAAACACAACCAAGATTCAACATCTCCACCAAGAATGCAGCCTTGTAGCTGCTGGAACTTGGAAGCAGACACTTCCTCGATTCAGATGTCACATGTTGAGGCAGGAAAAAAGAATATCTTTTACATTGTGTGAACTGAACATTGAAAAGAGCATGATCCACCATCCCGTTGATGAACCAACAACTCAACAAATGTTATCTCATACAATGGAATTCTACCAGGAACAAAATATAAAATATATACAAGTAACCACCACTATGAGACAAACAACCCACTGTGAAAGAACATAACTCCAACTCCTCCAACCCACATAAAAGCAAATTTACATATCCCATAACCTTCCGAACACACAAGTACAGCCATACAATTTACATCTTACAAAGAATACATCCAATAGATCTGTGCTTATGGGAAGTAACTTGCTTCAAAAGAAACTGGAATTAAATCTTTACTATCACCAATTACAGATGATGAGATGAAAGGGAAAGCCCCTTGTTACAATGTAATGAATAACTCACTCGGATTCTTGTGGAGAGGCAGATCAAACACGATCAAGTACAAGTGTACAACATGTCAAATTTAGTGAGATATATACAACATAGAACACACAAGAATCAAGACTTTTACAAGTTGATCCTGAAGCAGAAAAGAAAAGGAAGGAAAAGAGCTCATTACATGTTCTAACCTAATAGATGTATCCAACTTCTACAAAGAAATAAGATTGCAATTTGAATGCAGAACAGTGGACATCATGTGTAGACCCAAAATTTAACTTCAGTATCCCTTCAAAACTTCATTGTTCTATGATATCTGACTTTCTATAGGATTATCCTTGCAGAAGCACTGGATATTGTCAGTCTTAAGTAGTTTCGAACAAATCATGGACAAACATAAAATCTCTGCTGCAACATAAGGGACAAAAATGCTTAGGAGTTTTCCTTTTCTACACTTATGAGATGTCATAGCCATCATCTGATGAATCAGGCTAAGGCAAGCAATCCAAAATTGTCTTCTTCCAGGTAATCAATATTGGCTGACTCAGTCACAAATATAAAGAATTATCTGCTCCACTCTCCTGAATGTGATGATAAAAAGAAAAATTCCATGTTAAAACACAGAAAATAAACAAGCTAAAGGATGCTATCCGATAATCTCTATCTACCACTCATCATCATCAACACCATGCTAAGAGCCTAAAATTAGCAGACTACCAAGGTCTCATTAGAAGCACTACATCTTGAAATAATTCTTGGTGTATATTACTAGTACAAACTGAGACCCACCATAGCTGTCAAGCCACTATTCCCTTCTTAACCAACCAATCAACTGCACAACCTCATTGATTTTCTAAGTTCTAGGACACAAATTCCTTTATATGCATAGCCAGTATTATGAGATCGATTTCTTTCCTCTAAAATATTATTCTTCCATTTCAATCTTTTGATTTAGATGATACCAATTTTCACCAATAGCGAAAAATGGACCCTTCAAAAGCCTTTGTCACTCTCAATGGAGACCAAGTCAGCAATAAATATGAAAGTGATGAATAAGAGTAAGCCACTGAAAACTTGCTTTACTGGGGTTTAAAATGAGAAACCACAGGTAGACTATTCAAAGAGGATAAAGATGTTTCCTCATCATTTTTCATTAAGAGGCATATTATTTCCTAGTTGCCACAAGAAATTCTAAGAAGATGCTTTAAAGCACTGGTATCATGAAAGGTCTGGGTGAAAAAGATACAGTGGGTTCTGAACCAAGTCCAAAACAAGGAATCTTGCATTCAACATCCTATCACAAAGAATGCAATGTTCCATTGGACTAGTAGTTGCACCAATAGCATGGTTGATGCTTTGGCTAGACAAGAGGTAAACTGGGAACAATTATTTTGAGAGGGTAGCTCCCTTCGCAAACAGTTGTAACAAAGAAAAGATATATAAAACACAAAGGGTAGGTAGTAAGAGCTAGCCTACAAAAAGGGGTGTTTGGTAAATCATTCTTTTTTAACAAATCAATGAAAGTCATGAATTATGATTGTTATCAATTAAAAAAAAATCTAAGAGGTGAACATGATTACAGCCAAAAATGACTGCAGCCAAAAAATGCCCGGGAACCAAAATAAAATTGTTATTGACACTACTTGAAATCTCAAAAAACTAGGAAATGCAAAACTAAGACAAAAAGGTTTATAATAAGGGTGGAAAGCACTGAATCGGCTGGACTAGCTTTCTCAACTAAGCAGCCACCAAATTGAGTTTTCTTCCCTTTTTCTTGCTTCATTTGAGTACAAAGCATAAAAGGTGTCTGATCCTGCTATCAAGGATCTTAGGAGGGTAGACTGGCACTGGTCGGGGTGCAAATCGGGTACCCAAGTTTAAGAATTTACACAGCATCAGGTTCAGGCCCTTAGGCTGGACCCATTCAAAATTTGGCAAATGCTCACTGCAAGCCTGCCCAAGTGTCTGATCCTGCTATCCAGGATCTTAGAAGGGTAGAGTCGTACTGGGGAGAGGGTGTGAAAGTTGAGTACCCAACTTTAAGAATTTACACAACATCAGGCTCAGGCCCTTAGGCTGTACCCATTCAAAATTTGGCAAATGGTCAAGTTTCAGCCCTATAAATTATGATCTGGACAGGTACCCAACCTTTTGGCAATAATTTGCACAAAATGGCCACCCTCAGGTGCAAACCTGCATTTTCATGCTTGTAATAAGCTGGAATGGATTCTCATTCCCAAGGGAGGGGAAGGGAATGGCCATTCCCTCAAATGGCGGAATGATATTCCACCAGGAATGGGAATGGGGTTCCGATTCCGCCCAACCATACAGTTGGAATTAGAAAGGACCATTCAGATTCCAATTCCAGACCCCTATTCCCGCAAACCAAATTGACCCTTAGTTTTCCTCAACTAAATGGGCACTAGCACTAGCAGAAAGCACATTAGGCAGAAAAAATACAAGAAAATTTGTAAATATCTACTCTGGTTAATATATTATTTCCTGAATGGGGAAATCAGTTGTTATCTATTAACCACATTTATGACATGACTAAACATGGTTTAAGCAATAGGTTGCCAAGTCTTAAAATTGAATCAAGTGGCCATGCAACTCAAGAAAGCATCTATTTGAGTACTCATTCTCATATCTTCTAGAATGGAAATGGTGAAACATGATTCATGTAGCTAACCCCATATAGCTGGAACAAGGCATAGACGATGATGATGATTTTCATATTTTTCTCATATTATACAAGTTGCAGAAGTTTACAAAATGTATATAGATTTATATTAATAGTATATAAATTGCAATTCTAGAATGCCTGGAGAATCCTGGACCTATAGTTGTAGTTCTCAAGATAACTTCAATAAATTGACACAGTACTCAACAAAATTGAGTCCAATCCAGTTCAGTCAATTCAAAGACACCTGAGTTACATTTATGGCTTCCTCAAGCCAAAATTCAAAAAGTGTGAATTCACAAAAAAAATAATAATAAATAAATAAATAAATCTAACACTTTTAAGTCTTTTGGAATTAAATAATTTTTGCTAGCACTTCATATACATCAAGCTAAGATGACCAAAGAACAACACATGGAGATCTGGACCCTAGAAATAACATTGTCCCCTTTAAATGCATTCAGAGTTATTCATCTACCAATCTGAGGTCTTAAAATTGCAGAAGAAAACAAATCTTATCAGAATGTAAAACCAAAGAAAAAAGTGATATGTATTTCAACTGGTCTCAAACAAACAAAAGATCAAATGACATTACTACTATTAGTATCTTTTTCCCTGTTTCCATATTTCTCTAACAATCAACTGCTACAATCACAACAAGTACCTCAGCCCAATATCTGTCAATGAATGTACAACTTCAAAGTTTGCAAATATATTAACTAAAAATAATCAATATAAACAAACAGAAGGATCTGAACCTACAAAAGGCAAGAAGTCACTAACACTCAGATGAATCAGTTCCAGAAGCACTTAGAAATACAAAGCTAAAGAAAGATATATAGCAATTAGCAACTTGTCCACTATAAGATATCATCCCATCTGGTTTAGAGCAGCAGCTAAAGAAATATCTAAGGAAGACAAAAATCTGGCACTTATCTGATGACAAGCTTACACACTACCTAAGAGATGAGAACATGAAGGGAAAAACAACTGCTTTTCATGATTGAAACATTTGGAGCAAACTCCAAGACAAAGATAAAAAGACGTGAAAAACACTCAGGAAACAAGAAAAATAAGATTCATGAAACTTTAGTAATAAAAGATGCCATTCAATCTGCTGCTCTAGACACCAACCAAGGCAGATAGTTTGCTTATGCAAGCATTCAAGGAAATTCTGTAACTGATAAACAAACATAAGATTATTGCACATATTACTATAAAAGCCAATGTTTCAAGCATATCTAGGGTGCACCCTAGAAAGCAATTGTGTCATAGAAAGAACAGGTACGACCAAAGGTAAAACCAGTTAAAGACCAGGACTGCAATATAGTGAGAAAATCTAATCCCCACAGAGAAAATCCACATGGGAATGCTACTAAAAAGCTAGTAATTGTTTTTAAGCACACAAGCACTAATTGCCACTTCTAATSATGTTCTATAGGAAGAAGCACAATAGTTGAGGGAATCCATTCTTCCCTCTCAAGCCACAGAAGTGGAAAACTTACTCTTTCCATTCTGAAGTCACACTCCTGCATGAGGCCAAAAAGACCAGAAGGGTGCAATGATCAACGAAGTTGTAGCCATTGATGAAACACGATAGCAAGTCTGAAACCAGTGACTTTCAAAAGACCTGTTAAATTACTTCCAACAAAAAGTTGGCAGGAACCACCAGATTGTGTCACTCTGATGGCAGACGYCGTCTCTTCCCATAATCTGCATYTCTTGAYCGAGACCTGTATTCTTCTTCTTGCATCATCCGGGACTTGCTGYGAGACCTAGAAGAATTCTGCCCCCTATCCCAGTCATCCTCATTATCCCAGTCACGTTCTCGCTGYCGATGKTCCCTGTAAGCATCTTTTTCTTCCTTGTACCGGTGCTCCCTATCAGACCTGTCCCAGTCCTGGTCCCTCTCATCACGATGCCTYCTCTCAGARTTCCCTGACCAGTCACGCTCAKWACCCCTGTCCTTCTCCCGTGTGGCAGCATTAGACCGTCCCCCTCCTCTTTCATGACCTGCCTCTCCATAACCATAGTCAGATGYTCCATCATCACCGCCATAACTTGATTCCCCTGTCCTTCTCCCATGATCTTCTCCTGCCCATCCAGCCATGCTTGTATCAGTCCACATTCCTGCATGGTGC